AATAGTAAATTGATTGCAGTATTTTTCTTTTGTATGTATGAAACACGGACCTGTACAGACCTTCTTTTCTTACGCCAGAAGCACAGCGTTTTGTAAAGACGGTAATTCGTAAAACTATGGATAGTTGTAAGTACAAATCAACCAATTAATTTACAAAGTTTAAAAAGATCTATAGTATCAATATCAAACCACTTTAATAGATACATCCCATTTGAAGACTGATGGAGAAGACAGAGCATTTTGAAGCAAATGTTGTTGCCAACCACTTAAGATTGAACTTGCTGGAGATTTATAGGCCGCCCATACAAAATGGCAGTCAATGTTTATGAAGAAGGGTTTTTATCTGTATCAGTAAACCTTGTCCGGTTGTCTCAATGCGTGTACTCAACCTTTGGCAGACCAGATGAAGCTGGTTTAAAGAAATAAATGAATATATTCAGTATGCTTCAATGACACATATGAGAGGTGAACAGCGCTATCTCAGCAATAACGTCACAATTTTTCCATCTCAGGAATCTATCATTTGAGCTAAATAACATTTATGTGAAGTTGAGCTGATCTGTTGTGTAGCTTCTTTTTATATACAGACATTGACCTGTTAAAAATGCATCTGTAAGGTATGTGACTTATGAACACATCCGCCCAAGTTATACCCAGCACATCATCCGATTGGCTTATCAAAAATTCATCTGTAAGCCGAGAATACGTGACAGAGGTTATGTGAATGTATGTGTGTTTCGAATTTTCAAAAAACTTGGACACTCTTTTTTCAGCTTGGTCTGATTAGGACGAGAGCGGTTAATTATTTCTATACGACAATATATAATCAATACAATCATTATAGTATCAAAGTGAAAATCAAATCGTCGAAGTTTATAATGGCCGTCATTGGAAATCTTACTGATGCCGTTGTTCACGGTCAGCAGAGTTCCACCTCACCAAATTTTTCTCCTCGTGAAAGCGCAAAATACAGTTACCGAGATTTCTGGCCTGACAACATTGTTTTGCTCGTGGGAGCATGTCAAAAAGGTCGAATGCGATATTTTAGAATACTAAAATAGACAACAGTCATTCTTTTATATTTTTGCCTCTGTGTGAAACGTTGATAATTTGTTTTCATGTTTTCGCAGTTTTAAATATATTCCTATTACAACTCTGGGTCCATCACAACCTAAATGTCCATCAGAAATTTACCATAAAATCCAATTAAATGAAGCAGATTTCACTGGTTTTAACTGATGTCCTGCGATATAATTTAAGTCGGAAGTACTTTAAAAATGAAAACGAACGAGAATGTATTTAACTCACCTTTTTGAGGAATCACGTTTAAAGTAGTAGGTAACGGGGGGTAACAGACAAGCCCTCTCCTCTCCACTTTTCCCAGCCCAGAAGGAACTTCTCCAATTAAAAAAGGGACTTCCCGAAACTAGACCTCGTGACCTCTAAACCCAGCAACTCGGGAATTCCCCGGGAACTTTCCCACTACCCCGGAAAAAATAGGTCTCCTCAAAGCTTCAAA